GGTATGGAGATGAAGACGTACCTTCGCAAGACGTGCGAACATTGTGTTGACTTCAGCCAAGATCTGTCGCGCATTGTATGGACCGCTGTCCAGCTTGTAGCTCTGTCCAACGCTCTCGACACTCTCGATGTTTTCGAACGGGCCGCGTCGAAGCGAATTTGCTCGCAAATACCACTGCCTGACTCCATGCTAACCGTTAGACTCTTCTGCGTAAACTCCCGAGGGCGAGACGTGCCTTGGTAGCATCCCTGATGTTCTCCGAGACATTGTGTCCGACGGCTTGTGCAGACAAGGACATTGTTCTTGTGACGTTGCCCCTTCCCCACCGATGCCATCCGCCAGTGATTTTCGGCGTCATCGCCTTCGCTATGGCACCGTGTCGCATTGTAGTATGTATCTCGTTCGAGAGGTAAGCCATGTCGCCGAAGCTGTAGATCTGCTGCTGGCCCATGGCCGGGCGTTAGTACATGCTCTGTCCACTCATCCAGAGACTCTGAGTAGACTGACTGATTTATCTGGTACTCACTTCAATGATGATGCTCGTCAATGATGCTCGCCACTGTTGTCGTCGCCGTCGCCGATGATGCGGCCCGCGGTACCGCACAAGGTAAGCACTGCGGACCGTCGATCTTGCATGGCTCTGTGTTTTACTCTTCTTGCCGTCATAATGTTGTCTCGTCTGCAACCGCAAAACAGCAGTGTGGTGCAGTCGGCCTAGGGATCGAGTGGCAGGCCATTTACGAACAGCCCCCCACCGTCGCTCGCATACCTCCGCAAGTTATCGTTCGTATTATTTTCGTCGTCTCCTGAAGCTCAATAGCCCGGGGGCTCTCGAAGACGGTTTCGGCTCGAGGAGCTCAAAGACCGAGCCGGCGAAACTGCAATTAATCGGCGACAAGGACCTAGGATGTCTCTGCGTGTCAAGTTCATGTCAGCCATTATTCTGATGAGCTCTCGATGCTGAGCTGTCTTTGGGAGTTGCCTTGTCCGTCGCCGCTTCGGAAACAGAGCTGGCAGGCACAAGGTGGAATTGACTGACCATATCCGCGCTCATTTCGCGTTTATACCAGCTCGACAGTGGCTCACTCGGAGCTGTTGCGCATCTCGTAAGCATTGAGAAGTGTGAAGTAGCCGTGGCAGGGCGAGGTCTCGAGTCGCGCACTCGGCTTCGACATTGGCCTCGACGTCTGCGAGTGTTATCCCGTCGACTATTGTACCTGCCAGGTGCCCACTGATGCCGTGACCATGATGCCTCCGTTCGTAGAGTTGTTTCGGGTGCGATGTCGCCGAAATTGTTGAGCCGACAAGGTAGGGAGATGGGAGCGTCGGCCAACCGGTGCCACTGCGAGTGTGAAGGTCTGTGCACGCAAGTGGGTATCATAGACCCTACTTACAGGCGTAAGATTGGCTTAGCGAGCGCCCGGCCTGGCATGCCAAACAAGCCCTAGTCTTCAAATGTGTGATGTCACCCGCCATGGTGCAGTCAGTGCATGGCGGGGTGGAGGGGCTGGCACCAAAACCCACATAGCCATTGTAGGTAAGCAATTTTCGCTGCCCGAACGCGACATGTCTGCCCAGAACACTGATTCAGCTTGTAAGGATGTTGTAATCGACCGTCGTAAGTAGCATGGCATCGTGCGACGTGTGGGGCTGTGGGAGCCTTGGAGGCTGTCGTTGGCCGAAAAGACACCTGCGCCAGCTCATTAGTAACACCAACACGACGAGTCGTAACACACACAAGACGGCGCAGAGACCATCTCCACGAGTAGCCTGAGCCCATGGGCCCTGTAGCTGTCGGTTTGGCTCATGCGCAACGCCGGACTGGCGGCGCGGTCCGAACGCCATCGCACAGAAACTAGACCCGCAGAGTGCGTCTCGGCCTGCCCGATGCTCTGGATCGCCTTATCGACATGCTTGTACTTGTATCCCTCCGCCGAACGTGTAGAACGAAGCCAGGGGCGTGGTGTTGACTTCCGCTGAAAATTCGTCTTGCCGCGATGGCGTCGAGGGGAGGCTGGCGGTGCGCGAGGAGGGCAGTGTTCCCGTGCTGCCCATACGAGGAGGCTGAAGCACTGCCGTAGATGCTGGTAGGTCTGAAACGATCGTCGTGATGTTAATGATGTCGGGGTGGGAGTTTGGTGCTGGTGTTGGTGTGCCAGCCCGCAGTGCCTTTCGCGGGGCGACTCGGCAATTGGTCACACAGGGGGCATCACTGGCAACGCGCATTGTGCCCGCCAACAAAGAGCGGCTGAAATGGCCGCCCAAAGCTGCACAATGGGCTTAGTTTGCATCTCGCGGGCTGATGACTCTTGGGATGCGACGTGACGCTCAATCGTATCCCGTAAACTACACTGAGAGCCACTGCGATCTCATATGCTGGGACTGGCAATGCTGTACAGGAAGACGCCTAACTGCTTTGCGCAGCCGGCGGATTCATTACTGTCTATAGAAAGTATGCAGCCCCCATAACCTCGCCGTCGCTCCCCCAGAGACGACGCCCCCGTCCACAGCTCCCGCGCAAGCAGCTCTCTCCGCCTCTCATGGATACAAGTCCCACCACTGCGGCAACAGCTTCGGCTCCAGCTCAAGCGCCGTCACCGCCAGCAGCACCACCGTCTTCACGCCCACGCAGCCCAAATCCCAGGCACTCTTGACCTGGGTGGCTGTAGTGATGATGTCCAAAAAGAAGGCCATCACTACGAAGACGAAAGTCCATGTATCCCTATTCGCCATGACGACCACGTTGGCCCCGAGGATGTTCTGGAAGCCCCGAAGGGCGGCGAAGTCCAAGAGCATCCTCAATCCGACGTACACGAAGAGCACGTTGCTGGTCAGGTGGATGAGGTGCGCGATATTGGGGAGGAGGAGGATGAGTAGCTCCATTTTGGCGGCTTGGAGGGAGAAGGCCGATGGAGGGCGATGTGGAGGCCGGTTGGAGAGAGTGATCTGGCTTGTAGCTAGGATAGTGCGGTTTGCAGATTTCAGGCGATGCAACTTGAGGTTTGTGATCGAGCGTAGCTGGTTGGTAGGTCGCGAGCTTGATAGTAGAAGGCTGCTCGTTGTTCGTGTCCTGTAGCAATGGGTGGGCATTCGGCGATGTGGTCCACGAGATTCGCCACTCGCCGCCTATTCGCGGGGCAAGAACGGACAGATGAGGCAACAGCACCTAGCTACAAATTACGAGGAGACAGAGGCACATGCAAGTCATAGGCATTGGAACAGGAAGGTGATGTGCAGACGACTTCGCATTCAACAGGAACAGTGACTATCTAGCAGAGCTGACCATTCCACCCATCCATGCACGACCTTGACCTTGACAGTGACATCCTCCACAACACTCCCCAAGCAGCAGCATAAAAGACTCGCCGAGGCAACGTGATGGCTGAAGCCGAGGGCAGTTGTTGCTGTGACTTGGTCAGCAATGAAGAGATGGAAGAAGTGAGTGACTTACGCGAAATTCGAGAGTGGTGAAAGGTTGGACGGCAGTGCTGAAGGTGGCGGAAGACGATAAAGATCCAGAGTGCCGAAGAGAAGAAGGAGGAATCTGCCATCATTGTCAGTCAATGTGAGTGCAGAAGAAGTGGACATGTACCTACCGAATGAACAACTGCACCATCGTACAGAGAGCAGTTGTGGGCGTTTTGACCGGGCCGCCCAACAACTGCTCATGCTCGTACAGAGAGCAGTTAAGGGTGTACTGGACGGCCCGGTCAGTAACTGCCCCGTTGGGGTAGTCCGGTCATGTCTGCAATCAATGTCAGTCAATGTGAGTGTTGAGCAGAGGAAGATGTACTTACAAAACGACCGGACTGCTCTAAGTGCTCCACCTGAAAGTGAATTTCTGTCTAGATTTGTGAGTGCGAAAGGCGGATGTAGAGAAAAAAGAAAAAAGAGAAGAGAGAAAAGAGAGAGCGTTGAGCTTAAATATCTACGGCTGCTTAGCGCTGGGGGAACGACAGCCCGCGCTGGCTGCCTATCGGAGAGCTACACGCGGTGAAGGCAGCTTAAGCAAGTTTCTATTAGCTAGTCTCCTAGTCCGAGCCTCTGCCGTTAGAGTGAACTAGTTTTCCTAAGGTCATGGGACTAGCAGGTAAGGCTGCCGGCTAGTTAACGCAAGCGCGTGCACTAGCGGTAAGAGCTACGTGCAGCAGCCTCTAGTCTAGTAGTATTATAAGTGTGATTGGGTGCATCTCTTCTCTTGATTCGTCTACCTAGTTAGAGCAGAAGACATCTAGATACTGAAAAAAGCTTATAGCTGAGAACTAGAGCCAGTACTGTAACGTGTGCGTGCAGATAGTCACTGTCTAGAGAGTTACTGTCTAGACCCGCATGTGCAAGTCTCACACGGAAAATTAAGAGAATAGCAGATTACGCTGACTAGCCTGCTTTAGGTAAGTAAAAGACGCGTGTGCGCTATAGGTTGGCTATTGGCTAGTTACTCTGTCCGAGTCACCGGCCGCGGAGTTCCAACGAAAGTCTTGAGATCCTTGGGGGTACTCCGGCCTAGTTATAGAGAATTAGACGAGGTGGGCATAGAATTTCGTAAGGACCTGCGTAGGCTAAGTTCTAGGCGTAAGCAAAGTTCCGAAGATAAACTAAGTAAAGCAACAAGGAAAACTGTGCTATGGAGGTCCTGCATAGCTTTACTCAAGCAGTGTGCACAGTCGGTCTAGGTACTTTTAGAGCCCAGCTTCAGCGTTATTCTAAATGCAGTTCTGCTGTAGTACATAGATAAGACTACCTACATAGAGGTAAGCTAGTGTCATTATTGTAGTTGAGGTTTTCTATGTTCGAAGGAACTACTGTGCATTACATCGGTAAAAGCCATATGCTTGTAGGAGTACAGCACTATCCCGTGGCAACTTAAAGATTATGGGAGTTCCTTAAGCTGCACCGCGCGTCTTAAAGTATGTAAAGGCAAAACCATACTCTAAAATTGCCAAAAAAAATCTGTCTAGATTTCCGAGCGTTACAAAACACTCACAAATCTAGACAGAATGCAGCCAAAGCGGGATTCGAACCTGCGTCAACCCGAAGCTCACAATGTGATTTGGGTAGTGTTACCGCTACACCATCTGGCCGTATGAAGAATGTATGAAAGATTTGGCACTAGGTTGAATATATATACTAGATAAATCGAGAGATAGCGCCGTCTATGATACTCTCTTGAAAACAGGCAGGGAGACATGTGAAAGCAGACCTGGAGACGGCAGTGCCGTAGCGGAGCTTTACGTGGTAAAGGACAGGGTTGATATGGCGGCCGGTAGCAGGAGACCTCACCGGAATATCTGACACTTGCGGAATCACGAACAACACTACTAGCTCTTGGAACTTCTGTACGCCCACGATACTAAAGATCTTATCCCCTGACATGCTTGGAGGATACCTGTTCAATGGGATATTGAGATATCAAGATATCAAGCGGCCAACAATTCACTCTGCGTACTGGATACGTGAGCGTTTTTCCTACGCTCAAAAGAACACACAAACCACCAACCGATGTACCACTTCTACGGCATGTAATTCTCCACGCAAACAACCTGCCCCATCACATAAGTGCTACTGATCCTCGAGCTGCAGTGGCATTAGATACAAACGACAAGCAGACCTCTAATCGAAGTACGTTGACACACAGCTTTGGCTAAGCATTGAGACTTCGGATATTTTTAGAACGACCCTACAGACCTCAGTGTCTTCAGCGAAAGCATTATAATGTTCAATGCGGAGAAGCTTATTCATCTCTCGCATCACCGGCATACGGCTATTCTCGCTCACCGAAGCTCGCATAAGGGCAACACCACCCTTCGATCCCTAAGCGCTGCTCTAACACGGACTATATATTGTATGCGGACTTGGACGAGTTCAAATACAACGTGCAATGCGGGAGGAATAGAGAGCCACTGTAGATGGCGGCGGAGAAGCAGCACATACACACACCACGTACTTGCATAGATATCTCCATAGGTAAACATAGATTCTAACGAAACAATCCAACGCTGGGATCGAGACTGTTGGGAAAAGTTACCCGTATACTTGCGCGATACCAATTGCAAGCCGAGGCTTCCACGCGGCTTAACGAAGCACTGCTTCGTCATCAAAGTACATACAGCATTCACATACACGACGATATCAGAACCACAGACTAACTACCGCAGAAGTCCAAAGCTCAACGCCCTGATGACGACCACGGCTGATTAGCAAGTTCCTAACGGCATCAACTTTTTGTTGCGGGATTGACTAATTTCTCGATATGGCTCAGTGCTCCAGCGGTAAAAAATGTGCAATGAAGTGTAGATGAAAGATAACGGTAGATATGCTAAATCAAGGGCGCATAGGGAGTGACTGAGACCTGGAAGAGAAGAATGGAAATAGAACGTTTACTGAACGCGAAACGTTTCATGGTCTTTGATATCGTGATGGATTGACAAAGACGAAGATGTAGTAACATGGGGCCGTATGTAGAAACGAATCCAAGTAGCACAGAGATTGTGGATGTAAGCCTGGTGCTGAAAGGCCGATAGTGGTAAAAGGTCATAACGCATGTCCATATCTCGGACTCGCCCATTTAGACCCAAGAGACCTTCTTGTATATAGCCGTTTCCCGCCCTTAACGCCACTCATCACCGCGATGTGATGACACACCCGCACCCTACCCCTCTTGCCTTGCAACCGGCTCCCGAATCATAACCGTATTCGCCTCTGTGCCCGCCGCCCCATACTTCTCCAAATCAAACACCTCCTCATGCACCGCCTCGAACCCTAACTTCGCATACAACGGCTTGCCCACCTCGGTAGCTTCCAAGTAAGCCGGCAGCTGCGCCCGGTCCGCTTTCTCGGTCCCCCATCTCACCAGCATAGCCGCAGCGCCGCGATTCCGATGTTCAGCGTCCGTGAAAATGAGGTGTAAGACTGGTATGGGTCAGCTTTCCGGCAGCAATAACAGATTGGAAACACGGCCGCGCTTCCAATCACGTGGACGCACAGTAGAACGGCTTCGTGCCCATGAACTTCCTACGCGCCTGACGCAGGTACAGCATGAAGTTCTGCGCGGCGAGATTCTCGTCATCGCCCGGCCCCGGCATAGGCAGCATGCCCTGTATCTGCGCCTCGGTGCGCGCTGTCTCGTTGACGCGCCATTTCGCGCCCGCGATCAACTCCCCGTCCAGCTCAGTGTCGACCACCTTGAGGAAGTGGACGTCGGCCTCGTTGTGGAACGACTTGAGGCTCTTCGCAGTGAACCGCTGGAGTGTCTCGGGGGTGTGTGGGGCCGGGTTGAGCTTCGACGCCATGCCGTTGTTGAAGCTGGCGAGCTGCATGCGGCAGAATTCGGGGAGGTCGGACTCGACGACGGGGTGGATCTCGAGAGGCATGATGGGGGAGGCTTCGGGCTCAGTGTTGCGGTTTGCTCTGTGGGAACGGAATCGTCTTTATAGGGCTCGAGGCTGCGGGATGGCTGCAGGACGGCTGGATGACTGGCTGAAGCGAGCGCTGCCACTGCATTAGCTCGTGCTTAGTATGCGCAAGTGCATGACTCACGGAAAGGCTTGTTTAGACTTCAGCCCTTTTGCGCTGCTGGAACGCCCTTTGGTAGAAAGGGGAGCAATTGCTGAGAAAGACATCGAAACTGCGTTGGGGGATGCTGTGAGAACCTCTCGATGTTGTCCAGTCCAAGCGAGATATCTCCGCTAGCGTATCCAAATTCCCGACTTAACCCCGAAGACGTACTCAAGATGCTCGCGATCTCAACTGCATAGGCAGAAGTAAAGACTTGTAGAAGTCTAAAACAGCAGGATACAGACTAAAAGTTTCCCTAATGGCAGACATAGACAATGACCCAACCTACCTGCACCTTCCCTCAGTGCATGCAATTGGCCGCGTCTCCTTCTGCGCGCCTTCCGTCTCTGCCACGCCTCTGCCCCCTATAAACCCAATCCGTGACGTCGAAGAGCAATTCCGACTTCTCCTTTAGCTTCAACTCCGTGAACACTCCTCTCGCTTCCGCAGTCCGCACAAAAGCTACTTCTTCCAACTCTCGAAACTCCCTCCACATCCACATCCACACCCGCATCTACATCTACAGCTCCAGCGCCAGCTCCATCCACACCCACACTCGCACCCGCACCGCCCCAATGAAATCCTGGGAAGCCATCGGATTCGCCTTCACCAGCATCTTCTTCTTCCTCGTCCTGGGCTTCATGGCCCTAAAACTCTACTGGACAATCCGCGAGGGCAGAGAAGGGCCGCAAGCGCTCCATCCGAGAGCCGCGCCCGCCAATTTCCCAGACTGGGTGTGTTTTGTCTTCATTCGCTTCATAATAAGTACTACATGTGCTAACGGAAACGCTAAAGGAACTCCTCGCGATGCCGCAGCCAGCTGTGCTCGCGGACTTGGATTCGGAGTAGAGCGTTTGGGCTTGGGCTTGGGGGGGGCGTTGGCGATGGAGAGAAAAGCTTGTTTCGTGACCGTTTCGGGAAGGAGATGGGGTGCGCGGGGGGTCGTTCCGCTGGGGATAGGTAGATAGGAAAGGCGTTAGAATGGACCGCTTCATCAAACGAACACTTACTGCTGTAGTGATACGGGTGGGAAGAATGATACGAGAGAAGAGAAGTCTCAATCACTTAGTCTTAGCGTACAAACGAACATCTAACCCTACTAACCACCTGCGCCTTTGGACCCGTACTTCATGTACATGCCCCGCTGCACCTTCCCATCCAACATCTCCCTCTCGACGATGCGCTCGTATAAGGTGTTGTACGGCTTTCCACTCGGACTCTGCACCCTCACACCCGATCCTATAGACTCGGATTTGTCCCCACGAATGCTGCTCGCCACCATCCCGTGCATCCGTTGCATCTCAGCTCCAGTAGTCTGGCTCCGTGTGTGGCTGACCCTCGCTTTGGAGGCTGTATAAGTACCCTGCTCCAGCGCGGAACGATCGGCCGATGCGGTGGTAGCGGAACGGCTGGGCCCCGTGCTTTCTTCCACTAGTGGGATACTTGGCTTGTGGCGGAGCGAGAACCGACTCTTGAGGGATTCGGCAATGGTGTGTCGTTTCCTCAACACCATAGAAGGGGTTAGTGATCCGGAACGTGGTGTAGAAGTGTCGGAAGATGGATAGCTCATTGTCCTTGAACCGGTGGATTGGCAGCGGAGGCTCAGCGTCGAAGGTCTGCGCATTGAATCCTGGCCATCGTTGGAATCAGAACGACTCGATTGAGCTTGGTAGGACTCGGAACGACTTGGACACCGTTGCGGGCTTTCCATGTTTCTACTAAGAGTCCCCACCAACGCATCTCCAGGTCGATCTCTTGGAGGACCAGAACGGGGGCCTATTAATTGCGTGCTCGCGATGGACTTTCGCCGCTGAAACATGTCACCTTCCACGGAATAGAGAAGGGGGTTATCGGAACACGATCGAGGCTTTGCTTGCTTATGTGCTGTATCGGCGTCTTGGACCAGTGTCAATGGGCTGGAACATCGCTGCGGAGGACCGCAAGCAGCGGCATGTCCGTACATGGGCCGCTCCATACGTCCACGCTCTTCATTCTTCAGTTGAATAACACTTGGACCAAACCTCGTGTGCTGAACTGCTGGCGGCGCACGCAGGACCATCGGTGCACTTACGCGATGCTGGTGTAGAGGGCGGACTTGATGATTCAAGTGTTCTCTCGTCAGCGGTGTTAGCGAGTCCTGCGCGTAGGTGCTCGGGCTGCCAGTCGTTGAGCGTGAGGCATGTGAATCTGCCGTAGCTTGTTGGGAAAAGTAGTCAGCCCCTAGCCCGTAATACTGAGGGGAGAGTGGCTGTGTGAATGATACTCCGGACTCCTCGCGTAAAGGTTGTCGGAAATCCCCCGGGCTAAAGAATTTGTAGTAGTCTAGACTTCGCCCATGGTGTCCGTAAGAGTCTTGCGATGTAGATGCCGAGTGGTTCGGAAGCGACCCGGGAAGCTCATGAACGTCTATGGGCGATACAGGAGGTGAAGTCGGCGCGGTGGAGTGCGGGTCTAGTGACCAGCCTCTCCCGTCCATAGAAATCGCTGGCATCTCGGATAAATGGCACGGGGAGTCTCTATTCATAGC